GATGCACTAAAAATCCGAAATACTTTACTTCCGAGCGGTAAAATTCACTTTTCTCTACGTTAATCGTCAAACCGGCAGAATTTATTTTCGCAAAGACACGCGACAGCCATTCGAGATGTTGTTCGAACGTCGGTCACTACCACAATATCATCGAGATAACGAACGCGTGAGGCTCCATTTCGGGACCGATTAATTTATCTAGCAACCGTTGGAAGGTTGCTGGAGCCCCCGATAACCCGTACGGCATTCGCGTGAAGTGATAGTGCCTTTTTCCCGGTACGCAGAACGCGGTAATTTCTCGACTTTCTTGCGCTAACGGTATCTGAAAATAAGCTTGGCTCAAGTCAATAGTCGAAATATAACGAGCCGAACGAAACTTGTCGAGAATACCCGTCATATTCGTAGCAGGTACGCGTCCTTCTTCGAGACGTTGTTTACTTTACGAAAATCGATACAAAAACGGTACTTGCCGCTCGATTTCTTAACCATCACAATCGGATTAAACTCGCTTTTCGAAGACTCTATTATTACGTTGTCTAACATTTTATCTACCTCGCCACGGATCGCCTCTTACACTTTCGGCGATACTAAATAACATCGCTGTCGAATCGGTGAATGAGTCCCGACATCGATACGGTGTTCCGTAAGCGACGTGACGCCGGGGCTTTCGACAGCGGTACGGTATTTACTAAAAATTCTTTTAATTTTTCATCTTCTAAACGCGATAATTCCGAGACCCCGCAACACCGATTTTCTTGTCCGCGCTCGTTACAGAACGGATATTGGATCGCCGCGTCACTCACAAAGGACCACTTACTTTGCGAAAAATCAATTAGTACACCAAAAGAAGCACGAAAGTCCATCCCGATAACGACCGGGACTGCGAGACTCGACAGCAAGCCGACGGTAAGCGTGCGCGTTTGTCCCTGCAATTCGATATCGATATTTGTCGATTCATTCATTGACACCAATTTCCCGTCCGCCAAGCGAATGCGAGAATCGGAATCGTGCGATATCGGTAATTCTAACTCTCGGATTAGGTCGATACCTTCTTCACCAAAAATAGTTCTATCAGAACCGGTATCGACCAATCCGAGTAAGCAGCTCTCGTCCACAAAAAATTCTAAATAGTGCAGGGACGCACGCTCACTTACTTGACGCGCACAGTACGATTCGATAACGCTCTGATCTAATTTGCATGTCTCGGAATCGGGAGAAGATGTAGGGACCCGGCCTACCGTCTTCCTCTCCCGTTTCCCGTGCACAAAAGGCACGTCCTTACCGTTTACCGGTCGCGTCCACAGCGGTAGCAGTGGACGCGCGGGTGCTCGCGACAATCACGCGAGAAGTGACCCGTCGCGTCGCAGTTCCAGCATTTCGCTGTTCTGCTCCGCGACGTTTGTCGCGAGGTAGAGGCCTCCGCGGTTTTCCGCGGAGTCTCACTCCTCGCCCCCGCTCCCGCTTCCCCTGCTTGGGCGGTCGGTGGTCGGGTCGCCCTCGCAGGAGTCGGCGGGGTCGTCCTCTCGGGACGACGCGTCGTGCCGTCGGCGCGCAGACGCTCTCTTTCGCGCGCGACTTCCGAGCGCTGCATACCAAAATTTTGTTGTGTCTCGGCCGTCATCGTCGTAGACTTGTCATCATCGTGACAAGCGCGGTGGCGGCCGATACGCGAAGTCTGGGAAGGTCGAACGTTCGGGTGGCGGCGGCGCGCGATATTGGCTCGCGGCGAGATAACTCCGCTCCACTCTCGTCGCGAGCCTTTCGAGAGCGTCGAAATTTAAAAAGTCGTTGCGGTGGGCGGCGATCTGCAAGTGCGGCAGTTGCGGTGCGCGTAGTTTAATTGCTCGACCGGGCTCCAAGGTGGATCGAGCCGGCCGAACAATCCCAATAGGCAGGTGAGGTACCTGTTCCTGCTCGCCCTGAGTGCGACGCATAATCTTGTCACGCAGGGCGAACTGGTAATCGGGATCACCAAACCTGACGCGCACCGCCGCCTCGAAGTCGTGCCACGTCGCCCATCGCGATTTCTTCACTCGGTACCACTGCAGGGCGATACCAGTGAGAAAAAATGGGAGACACTTTAAGAGGTCCCCGTCCGCGATGGGCACCAAGTCACGACCTTCCTCAATCTGCATGAGGAAGGTCTCCACGTCACCCGAAAAATTAATGTTCCAGCAACGCATGATGTTATATGCGTCGCTGGCCGATAATGGTCGCTTATCGATACGCGATCGAGACTCGGGAAACGACGGTCGGAATGGCTCAAAAACTGTCGCGCGGTAACGAGAGCGCTGGTGGTAGTAATACTCACGCCGCCGGTGGGACGGTGGTCGGTGGCCTCGCGGGAGCTTCGCTTTTGAACGGTAATGACCCCGGTTTCTCGGGGTCCGGTACGACAGAGATCTCCTCGACTCGGTAACTCTGGCTCCACAGCACCACCGACTGCGCCCTCGGGGACTTCCACCATCTGGAGATCGTACCGCGAGAGCAACACGCCCACCGCGGGTGACCGCGGCACGGGGTCACGATGCTCCGCGCGCTCGTAGCGCGTCACCCGCGCCCGTAACGTCGATATCGTGCCGGTCGTGACCAAGCCCCGCACAGCGGCTTCATCCTGGAGCTGTTCGAGCGACAGCTACTGTCGGGGTCAGTAGGTATACTAGGCGGGTTCTAACCCATGGTCCTCCGAGAGGGGGTGAGGGGCGGGAATACCGCGGGCGGGGGGTATGACGTCACCGGGGGATATGACGTCACCAGGGGGGTATGACGTCACCGGGGGTATGACATCAGAGGGGATTGCGTCACCGCGGAGGGGTATGACGTCACCGCGGAAAAGGGGATATAATCGATCTGTAATTGGGGCCATACCGATGTTACCGACGGTCGGTAATTTTTACCGATTATATAACATTTAATTACATAATTTTTTACTAACATATAATTTTTATCAACATATAATTACACAATACCGACGATCGGTAATTTATTACCGATATTATATACCAACATTTAATTTATACCAGCACATATATATTTTTACATAATTTTTATTGTCATATTTATATAATACCGATGATCGGTAATTATTGATATTATATAATTCTTGTATCTGCTTTCGATAGATCATTTTACCGATCTGCGGCAGTTTTTTCGCGGCGGTTTTTCGCGGCAGTTTTTTTGCGACGGTTTTCGCGGCCGGTTTTGCGCAGCCCGCGTCGTCCGCGCCGTCCGCGTCGCTCGCGCCGCCCGCACTGTTCGCGCATTTCGCAGCGTGATTTTTAGTCACAGCTGCAAACTCTAATATTCCGCAAACGTATGTATTCGACAATTAGATGCGCAAGAAAAAGAATGTGACACATGATATTCTTATTACTAATGAGCACGTATACAGTGTCCCCGCGACAAGATTTTGCATGCGACGTATGCATTCGACAATTAGATGCGCAAGAAAAAGAATGTGACACATGATATTATTATTACTAATGAGCACGTACACGGTGTCCCCGCGACAAGATTTTGCGTGTTATACATCATAGATAATATGTTATGTAAAAATGGGAATGAAACGGTAAAGAACGGCAATGAAACGGTAAAGAAATGATAAAAAACGGTAATGAAACGGTAAAGAAACGGTAAAAAACGGTGAAAACGGGAATAAAAGGGTAAAAGCAGTAAAGAACGGCATTGAAACGGTAATAAAACGGTAAAGAAATGGTAATTAAACGGTAAAGAAACGGTAAAAACGGGAATGAAACGGTAATTAAACGGTAAAAACGGCATTGAAACGGTAATAAAACGGTAAAGAAACGGTAAAAATGGCAAAGAACGGTAAAGAACGGCATTGAAACGGTAATAAAATGGTAAAGAAACGGTAGAGAACGGTAAAAAACGGTAAAGAACGGTAAAGAATGGGAATGAAACGGTAAAGAACGGCATTGAAACGGTAATAAAACGGTAAAGAAACGGTAAAAAGCGGTAATAAACGGTAAAGAACGGTAAAGAAACGGTAAAGATTGGCAATGAAACGGTAATAAAACGGTAAAGAACGGTAAAAAATGGAAATGAAACAGTAATGAAACGGTAAAGAAACGGTAAATGAAACGGTAAATAATGGGAATGAAACAATAAAGAACGGTAAAAAAAGGAAAAGAAACGGTAATGAAACGATAACGGCTACCAAAAATCATAAAAACGATTACCGAAACGGTGTATTCCAATATTTATATCAAAAGTGCAGTCCAAAAGTATTCATGTAAGATCTTTCTCTTATGCGTTACAATGTAGCATTTAAGTGAAGTATTCATGTAAGATCTCTCTCTTTTATGCGTCACAATATAGCATTTAAATGCTGTCGTATCGATTTGTGGTTGATAATAAGATGCGCAGAAAAATGTGAAACAAGATACTATTACGAAGGTCATAGAAGTATACATATTTTGCACATTTTGAAACATATAAAATCATATGTATTACATCGGCGCATAGTTCAGTCGAGACCCAAGCAGCAACAGATACAGGACACAAGCAACAATTTGAACGGCTAAAATGGAGGACAAATCAAGGAAAATATCCATTGTGCAGTTTTTGCGTGACAGAGAACTCGGTTTGCGAGAAATAAACAAACGTGGTGTGAAGGAAAATGTTAAAGTTATCAAGTTCTACTCTCTAAGAAGTTGGCCCCATGACTTAGTGCAGGAGTACACCAATCAAATAGTGGAAGACTCACGTAGGATCACGACTGAGAATGCAAGTGAAATAAACACTAAATTGAATGAGCTTATAATGCATCCAGACATCAGAGTGCTAAAGAACTTTAACCTTCAAAATTTCTATAAAAAAATTTCGGCAGGTAGTGGCAAGTGTACATATAGTGTTGTTTCATGACATACATTTATATGATGATTTGTGGAATGCTGATATGCCAATTTTGATGGTGGAGCGACACGATAAACGCGAACTTTGTATGTGCTATCGAGACAGTTTACAGTGGCCAAAAATAGATGAAATCAGTTGGGGTGATAAATCTATGGTTTACACCGATGGAATACGGCGATATCAACGGTGTCCGTATAGTGAGTTAGATCTGATCTACATGTCCGCACATTAATTGACTGATTGAACAATAAATTGAGAAATTCTCAATGCAATCTTAAGCATCACAATGCAATATTTTTGTGCTGATACATCAATATGAGGATGCGGTTGACTGCATGTGTGACATATGATGTTACTATTACGTTAGGCTGTGCTGATTTTGCAAATTTGCCACTCTCTCCTAACGAGACATATTTGTTACAAAGAGATAGCGATGAACCATATAAAAGTCTCCCAGGGGTTACCGGCAAATAGTTCAAGTTTGAATTGCATGTTACAATGTTCTATTGTAGACGTCAACCCGAGGAGATGGTTTGGTTATCAAACCCTTCACGTAAGTTTTTAATAGATTGTATGCGTGTTTAATTTGATATAACTGCGCAGCCAGGAAGATTGAGCGAATTGGAGCACGCGGTGAATCTTTGTAATACGAAGACCGTCGCGCGTGCACTGCTGCAGGTTGCGGTAGTAGATAATATAACGCTGTTTATCGTATAGCGTCGCGAGAAAATTCTCCTGACGCTTGCCGGGTGGCTTATCACGTATAGGACAAAACGGTAGGTCAGTGTGCACATCGTGCAAATTTTGCGGATACTTCAAGTCGACCTCGAGAATGTATCCTATGGGCGAATCGTCGGCGACTGAGAATACATCAAAGTTTGACACGTTGTCGATCCATCGAAACTCGGCGTAAGGCAATGGTTGACACGTTGCCCATCCATACAAATTGTTTACGTCAAAGTACATTAAGTACGACGATGGTTTCGACGGGTTGTAAGATTGCAT